GGGTTTCTGTTGACTTCTTGAATTCCAAGCTCCAGCCCATTCCTTAGATTTGAGAAATTCTCGTCCACTATTTGTCTGAAAATGCTTTCTAGTCCCTGTTCTTTTCCTCGCCTTTGATAACACTCATTATTCTTATGTTTCCTCTCCTGATGGTATCAGCTAGTTCTTGAATTTCTCTTTCATTATTTTTTATTCTTCAGTTTCTCTCTTCTTCCTTCTGATTTATTTCTAGATTTGCTCTGTCTTCAATATCACTGATCCTTTCCTCCATTTGGTTGACTCTATTTCCCAAACTTGCTATTTTATTTTTCAACTCTTGCAGTGTGTTTTTTATCTCCAGAAGTTCTATTTGGTTCTTTTTGACGGTTTCAATCTCCTTGCTCTGCTCATCTAGCTGTTTTTACAGTTCCTGAAATTGTTGATATGACTCATTTTGGAATTCACTGAGTTTTTTCAGAAGTACCGTCCTGAATTCTCTGTCACTTAAGTCGCATATTTCTGTGTCTGTAAGCTTATTTTCTGGAGATTTTTCTCTTTCTTTCTGAGCTGCCTTGTCACCTTGGTTGTTCATGGTGTTTAATGGACTATTTCTCCACCTGGGCATTAATGGAAGTATATTCTGTTGTTTTTCCAGAAAGAAGATTTATTATATAAAGGTGTCTCTTTAGCCCGCTGCAAAGAATGCGCTTTTCTTTTGGTTTCCAGTAGGTGGCATCTAAGCCTCTTGGATCCCTGCTTTATATAAAGCATAGCATCTTTTATTTTCTTGTAGATTTTAATCACACTCACTACTCTCAGTTTCAGTCCCCGTCAGTGTTAGCAACAGTTTCCATAGCATTTGCTCACATTCCCCTGGGGCTCCTCGATGATCAATCTCAGAAGATATGGGGGGAGGGACGCTCTGGGTTGGGGGTTGGGAACTGCAGCTTGGCCTCAGTTTTGCAACTGGGGCTGGTAAAAATCAATTATTTCTCTGCTGTCTCATCCTGCTTCTCTGATTTCTGCCCTGATGACTTAGCCCTGCTGCCAGCTGCATACAGAAGTCCCAGCACTTCCAGGCAGGGCTGATCATGGAAGTTGCCGCACCTTCATCCCTCTTCCTCCTCCTGCAAGGAGCTCTGGCAACTGCGAGAGGCAGCTTCTTTATTTGTCCCAGCCCACCACCCGGCACCTGGGGTCCTGACCTGTGGTAGCTCTTATGCGTAGATCCCACACTCAGACGTACTGTTGTGCAGTTTGGGTGGTTTTTGTTGAGTTTTAGATGTTCAGCTTACTGTTTCAAGGGGAGAGATCTGAAGATGTCTCTCACTCTGCCATGTTTTCTAGATTATTTTTCCAAAGTGTTTAAAAAACTTAAACTGACATCTTCTGACATTGATGATGAAAAGAAAATCTTTTCAGATTTACAAAATCAGACAATTTCCTTTTCTAGTT